CTTGATTTCTCTATTCTTAAGTTGGAAATTATTATTTTCCATATGTAACAGAGTGTGGAATATATGAAAAACAATTTCCAGGTTAAGAATAGATATGCACATACACACAGTTTAAAATAAAGAATATACAGGTACTAAATAGGCATTTTAAAATCAATAAGAGTGATTTATAGAGCTATTTTGAACAATAAAATATTTGCTTCAAGAAAATCTCTCTTCACATTGATATCATTTATACAAAATTGAATTTTATTGACTTTAGCTTGTAGCTTAGTATCACAGGTTAGGCAACTTACAAAATAACAGTTTATATACACATATATATGTGTGTATATATATGTATATATGGACAGTGATATTTATACTCAGTCTTAAGTTCAATACCATCACCAGGTAAATATTAATAATTGGTTGATTATTACATATTACTGACCTATAAAGTCGATAATAAGCATAAAACTAATCTGTAATAAGCACACATAATTTTATTTACTAGGAAGGCATAGTGCTCAGGGATTTATGTTGTAGAATTTCTGTTTGTCTTGTATTACTGGTTCTTGGAGGTTAGGTGCATGAAGACTGAGAAAACTGAAAGGTATTACTAATTCCTGAAAGAATAGTTGTGTAGAATGGAGACTCATTCTAGGCCTATTGCAAATCTAATTTCTTCTATTACTTTTTTTTGCACTATTAAAAGCATAAAATATAAAAACAGTAATATATTTGGAAGACAAATATAATAAATAATTTGATGAATTAAATAACTATTGAGTGCTCATTATGTTCCAAGCACTGTGTAGATACCCAGAGAGAAAAAGAGATGTATTCCATGATCTCACAAAACCCATTGACAGGAGACAAAAATATCAAGGATTATCCTACAAAATAATGACTGTGATTTTTGAAGGCATATGCAAATTTTCTAAATTAATGTAAAATATTATTTTTTTGAGTAATATGGAGAGCATAGGTTCTTTTTAAAATTAGGGTTTATTAACATAATAATATCAAAGTATCAGTTTAGTATACCAGTTTATCAGTTTTGTTTCCTCTCTTCACATATTTGTAGGAGACCCTCTCTACATATTTGATTTCACTATATAGCTTCTGAGTTAAACTGCCTTATTTAAATTTGCACATCAATTTCAGTTTTCTAGTTGTAGATTTCTTTATAAAAAAAGGAGAAAATAATATGGAAATGAACCACATACTTCTGAACAGGGGGCTGAGAAAACTATCTTTGTCTCATTCAGTAAGTTAGAGACCAGATACTTTAAATAAGCAGTGTGGACTCAGTCAAATAGCATCGTTGTGATCACTGGCCAGCAGTGCTTGTTAGCTGATTCCCTTCATTTTATCCCAGAAAAATGGTTTTAGATGTTATACCTTCAGAATTTGAATTGATTCTTAGAAAACATGCTAAGGCTACTATTTTAAGAAATCTTTGTAAGACCATCAATACTCTTTCTATAGCTAGTTCCATTTTGGATATTACTTGCAAGTCCTTGACAATGTTGCATTGTTTTACTCATGGAATTCAAAATTGTTTTACATTGCTTTCTAAAATTATTATAAGCCTTCATAATTACCATTTTAATGGATGCATACTTTATATGTTGATGAACAATTGTCAATATTATTTTTTTTCAAAAAGCAGGATCTTAAAATCCTCTATATAAATAGAACCAAGAGAGGTATAATATATGTGCATTTTAAGAGCATAAATATGATTTTAAATAATAATAGTCAAGTCATACAAAAACTTTAAATACCAATATTATGTAATAAGTGGTTTTAAATCATAGAAGCATAAATACTTTAAAGATTATTTGGTTTTGAGTTTAAAGGACTGGAAGTTTTCATTTAAATTAGTTTTATGGAAGAACATCTTAAAGTTTAGAAAGTTTAAACTTGCTTCCTTTTAGCAGTTAACTTAGATTTACATAGAAATTTGGAAAGAATACGATATAAACCTCTCAACTAGCACTCTCTTAAGCACCGGAAAAATCATTACCTTTCCCAGTCCTTTCAATTTCTGTCTGAAGAAGCATAGCGAGCAGAACTATATATTGTGGTAATTAATTTCCTTAAGATAATGTTAGAAACATCATGTTCTTTAAAATATAAATGAATTTCAAAGTGAGCATGCTAGAGGATAATATTAATGGCATATGATTTATTGTGACAAGAGATCTTATCTGAAACACCATTATTAGGAGTACTTAAAAAAATCCATTTGCAAATTCCTGAAAATATGAAACTGTGCTATGGCCTAGCCCATCTCAGTGTTGAAATCTGAAAATCTGCCCTTGTATGTATGAAATTGTTTGTGTACAATATGTCTTCCTCATAGAAGTTTATCAGAAAATTTTCATTTCCTGAATATGTTGATTATAGTTTAGGAAATTACGTAAATGCCTGGAACTCTGAGTGAAGACTTAATATATGGAAGTGTATATTGAATTTTACATGACTAAATGACTTGGTAATATGTGAAATATTAGGGCTGACTGTTTTCTTAAAAATTAGTTGGCCAATAATACATTGAGCATCTGCTATACACCTGGGACTTCTTGAATTCACAATAGAAACATGTGACTGCACATCATTCTGCAAGGCATTTTCTATGTTAGTACCGTTTCAAGTGAAATATAGCCTGTAACCTATTTATAAGCAAGATTTACTCATGCCTCATATTTATGAAGAAGTTTTAATAAGGTGTCCTCTTACATCTTATAAAAACATTGTAGTAAATGGCGTGTAACCACATATTAGGCAGTGAGGAATGTCATAAATTAGTGCTATTGATAATAAAAAATTAAATAGTTATATGTGAATAATAGAAGTCTTTATTATTAAAAAAAATTAAAATTATTCTGCAGAAAGGAATTCATTAGCCTCTGACACTTGAGGAAGGATCACAACTATTGGCATTCATATATATGTATTCAGATCTGATTATCACATAAGTATATTGATATACCTCTCTATACTTTTAATTCTCTTTCCCTCTCCCCTTCCTGTCCCTCCCCTCCAGTCTTTCTCCCTCTTTCTATTGCTGTCTCTCTCTTTTTTTCTTTCTCTCTATCTCCTGAATAAGTTTGGGATAGTCATGGCTTATCGATTGCTAAACATGTTTTTTTCCCTGTGTATTTCTTAAAGCCTTTAATAGGCTTTTACATTGTGAAACTCCTGAAGGTCTACACTGCATGCTGCATTTTTCCAAACAACTTTTTTTTGCTTGAAAACTCTTTTAATATATGAATATAAATTTGCTGATGCTTCATAGAATGACTTTTGGAAAAGCATAGTCCACTCTTTCTTATATTATGGTTTTATGTACATTAATGGCTATATTCATTTTCAGGATATTCGAGGTGTATCATCAAGTGCTGAAATCTATAAAGCAATATAATTTCATTGCTACATTGATTTATTTATGTATGTTTCATAAACAATCTAAATCTTGTAAAATAAAAATATCTATTATAGATGCAAAGAAAACATATAGGTGCAAATTTTAATGATTACTTTTGATCTAAACTGGAGCAAAATTAAAACAGTGCAAAAACATATAAAAGAAAAATCCATTTGTCTCCACAAACACTGGTTCCCCTCTCTAAAAGCAACCAATTACAAGATTTTTGTGAATCTTTCTAGAGATATTATGGTCTCACGTAAATATCCATATATGTGTTTTTCCATTTCCTTTAAAACAAAAATTACAGCTTTCTGAACTATGAGAGAAAAAGCAAATAATAATATCATAATTCATAGGGTAAAAAACAATTCAAGGAAATACCTAAGTTAGGTATTAAAAATAGTTTTTATTTGTTTTACCCAAACATTTAATAGGTATATTTAATGAAATACCATATAGAACCTTACCAATCCTGAGAGTATTTACTGTGATGATTCTTGCATAAAATAGTGCACTCAAATCTATACTTAACAAAAATCCAAAACAATTCTAAAAGTACATTTTAGCAGCACTTATTTTATTATGGACCTACATGGAAGAAAATTGTCAATGTACTAGTGTGTGACAAAATTGAAATAAACATAAGAAATTCCCAGGGCAGTTATCTAAGAAATGGTTTGTAGCATTCATGGCAAGATGTCAGTTTAGCCAAATACAGAGACTATATTAAATTCTAATACAGAAAGTCATTTAAGTATCTATGCAGAAATGTTGATTATGATTTTGTAACTTCATGAAATGAATAGAGTAAAAAACAGAATTGAGGCAAAAGATGATTTACTTCTTCTGCACCATTTTTCAAGGAGAGTGGAGGTGCAGCACAGGGCGGGGGGGGGAGAGGAGGCAGCTGAGGGGATGGGATGGGAGGGGAGATTTTCTGAGGAGTTTCTTTCTAGAAATGAGGAAGATGCAGAGCAAAGTTTTCCCTGAGTAACTGCAAAGTTAATGTCCACTTTTTGGAGGGATGAATGTTTGCTACTGCCACTGTAGGAAAATTAATTTTGTTTGTCAAGGCTTTTCTCCTTGAAGAAAAAGTCTTTTAAAAGAGTTTATATTGGCACTGATATTGCTCTGGTTTACTTTGCATGTGGTTGAGGCCAATATGGGACTGATAGTCCAAAGATTAGAGGACTTATATGATGCCTATGTAACATATCGTTACTCAGCATTCTTAAAGTGAAAGCCAACGTTTTTCCTTGGGATTAATGATTGCTTTTAACAAACTAAGCCATGTAAAGCTTCAGCATGTGTTAACAAACTATTATTTTCACATTAAACTTGAAGTCTCTCTTTTATAGCACATGAGAATGAAATGGAGACCACGTTGCCTTCCCTGTTACAGTCACTCTGAAACCTAAGAAGAAAAATTTAATTAAATTTATACTTTCATCAATATTTACACACACACTGAGCCTCATTTATTCCTTATATAAAAATGTTTTATACCATGTAGTGATTTTTTAATGATATAATTCATCGATGGCAGCCATAATTTTGATTTCATCATTTGTTAGCTTACCTACTGTTGAATTTCTCAGGGTGTTTTTCTCTCATGATGTGGAATCTGTGTGCAATGGAGGCATCCTAGGGGGAGAAAAGAGAAAAGAAAGACAAGCTTATGATTCCATTATCTTGTAGAAATATAGACTAAGGAGAAAAAATGAGTAATAATTTTAAATTAACTTTTTCTTCACATTAAGAAGATGCTCTGAAATTAAACAAAATGTGTAATCTATGTAAATTCTGTGCAAACGTGATTTATGTAAGTTTTACAATTGGTTGTTTGTCATATTCACATCTACAAATTGATTTCTATTTAATTTATATATATCCTTTGATAACTGGTGTTATCTCCTTGTTGGAAGTATGTTTAGGATAGCACATATGAACATAAACGTCAAATAGTAGTTGAGATTATTGTTAAACAGAGTTGGAAGGATGGTCTAAGTAGAGAGATGATCAAGTAGAGAAGCTCCTAGTTCTCTGAGACTAATTATGGGTAAAAAGATACTGGGGGGGGTGCACATCTGATAAAGGTAAGTGTATTACTTCAGAGTTTGCCTGGTGTGTCTTTGATGTGTAATTAATAACTGTTCCCACCATGAGCAACTTTCTGACATAACTTATCTTGCTTAATACAGAAAAGCAACAAAGACAAAAATTTATTTTTGGAGAATTGGTGACAAGGATAACGTGCCTCTGAGACCCCAGTGGTATCAGTTCCAAATCCCAATAGAACTTTCTTACTTTTAGTAAATCCATTCAGAGCTTTTCCATGAGACAGAAATAATACTGAATGAGTGAGATTGGTGGAATAGTGTGATCCATGGTTTTCAAGACTAGACTGTTCTGACTTTAAACAGTTAACCCTGTTATTCCAAACGAGGAGATATTTTCCTATTCTTCATCCACACATGACTAATCACTCAAACTAGAAACTAATATATTTACCAGTCATCTAAATAGAAAAGGGCTATTGTTGCAATTAAATGTTAATTTTGTTTCATAGTGGAGATAAAAGGAAAAGAAAAATCAAACACAAAGGAAATAATGAAGTTGTGTATTTAAGAGAATTTTGAAAACACTAATCAAGGATTAAAAGTCTAATGAATGAAATGAAAAGACTAATGTGCTTATTCGTGCATAACAAAGCATGAGGCACAATAAGAGAGGGACCAATGCCCGCTGCAGATGGCAGAGTTGTTTTTCCCTGCAAGATAGAGCTAACTGTAATTTTTTTCTGTACAAACATTTTATACTCTAAAAATTGTCATGTAATAGAATCAAAATGAAAAGGATACATTTATAGATAGATGTGTATAGAAACAACACTTAAAATAAAGATCCCACCAAAAAACCCTCTACGGTTTGATACTCTAAGATATAATTTTGTTATATATACATAGTCAACTTCTTGATTTGTTAGGAAGTGGGAATATGGAGATGGTTCATTTTTATTGGTCCAATTGTGCTCAAACCTAGTGGCAAAGTTTCTTTAAAAAAACAATTTTTACTAATAATTCATAAATATATATTTATAAATGTGAAGTTGTGTTACTGTGGTATGCAATTACAGAAAAAATCTGAACTGGGCTATTTATGAGAATTAATTAATTTTTAAAAAGCATTTATTTTGACTTTATTCCTAATTGGTTACAAAATCAATTTAGAATACCTTCTAATTAAATATATACATCAGACCAGCTAAACAAAAGCAAAAGTCCATAAGTCAAGTACTAAGAATGAATGATTGATAATTGGTTACCCATGGGGAGAATATTATTAAAGTTACTTATGCTTGAATTATTTGTTTCTGCTAATTTGGGGAAATTGAGGCATTTAAAAATAGATTGCATAGTGTAATTTTCAAAAACATACAAATGTGTTTTTTGTAATAACAAGTCTCTTTCTTTCCAAAGCAACATAAACAAGACAGAGCAAGGGAGAGGGGAGAGAGAGATATCAAAAGACCACTTTAAGTAGACTGGACTATAACTGAGTAAACTCCTAAAAAATGTACTATACCGAATAGCCAAAGATAAACTTAATATAGCTCCATCCCCGAGATACTCAAGCAGTGGATCACTTACTAAAGAGAGGGGAACAAGAAAAACTAGCGAGGCACACTGGCAGGGCTTTTCCTTGTGTTGAATGGGTTCCACCACAAAGAGAGAGTTGGCATTGCTGACTGCAGGATTGATAAGAAACAAAGACAGCAGGTGTTCATTTGGATGAGAATTCAGACTCAATTCACATGGGACCCTGTCCCTTTCGCATAACCCCAAGGGGCTTGAAAGAGTACTGCCAAATGCAGTAAACTTATCCAGCAACCATCTTTCAGTGATACTTAGGATTCTCTAAAGAGAGACCGAATAAGAAAAAGCTGTAAATGCCATTTTTAAAACAAATTTTACCCTTTTCATCTCTATGTATTGCAATTTTTAGAAAACAGAGATTAAACAAGCATCCACTTCCTAGAATGGAGAAACTTTGAATTCAGACTTTCCATTTCCAAGCCTTGTAACTTTGAGCAATTATTTATTCATTAAGAGTCACAGCTTCCTTATCTTTAAAATAGGGTACTGATACCCCTTTAAAGTACTATGGTGGAAATTTAAAGAGATTATTCTGCATAGCAATTAGAACAGTGCTCTGAGTAGTTGGGATGTTTTTATACTTTATATGCACACCAGAATTTTCTTGAAGGTAAAAAAGGGTGCTAAAACATGGTTAAATTACATTATTTTGAAATACGTGTTTACTGGCTCTCAAATTGGTTTTACTTTTTTTTTAATGCACAAATAGTTTTATTTTAAAGTAATTTTTAAAAACCTGAGAAGTAAAAATAAATCGATTTTATTGAAGCAAAACAAATGTAGACCTCATTATGCTATTTAAACAGTAAGAAAGTAATCAGAGTAATATTTCTTGATATATATTTTCATATGTATCAATAAATACAAATATACATATATCAAATAATCAGCTTCTTAGCCGCATCTGTCTCAAATATTCTCTTACTAGTATTTTTCTGAAGAGTGCTTTTTTTCTTTTCTTGCATGGGTTTATTTTATTTTATTTTTTAATAAAATTTTCTTAAATCTCCAAAGTTGCATTTTAGGATATTAATTTTAAAAACTTGATTTGTTTCTGTGGATAATAACATTTTAAATTGAGAGTATATTTTATAAGTGCTGAGATACTTGGACATATAACAAATTTTGCTAAGTGGAGATTTTCAATACTATTGTTTTCATTGAAATGTAAAATATATCTGCCCAGATATTGTCATACTTACTACCTCTTCTATTTCATTTAAATAAACTGTCTCTCACAAATGTTTTTACAAAACTTGTCAAATAATTGGTTTTTATTATTGATTATTTGACCATTGCACCAAATTAAATGTCTTTACAATTTATTCCATTTCAGGATAGAATATAAATTTACTCAATTACAAATGAGAATCACCAAAAGAGTTATTCCAAAATGCAATTTTATAATTTAAATTAATATATCACTGGGTTGAAGATCTGGCTATAAAATATACTAGGTATTTGACCTTGAAAAGTTTGCTTGGATTTTCAATACAGCCATTTTCCTATATTAAAATAAGAATAGTATTAATTGTATCTGCTTTGTTATGAAGATCTGATGTTCTAATACCTAGAAGATAATTAGAACTGTGACTGACATGTAGAAAGTAAGAAAATTAATGTTAGCTGTTTTATTATTGAAATATATTTATGGTTTTGAGATTCATATTATTATATCCTTTGATTTACTGATACATTAAATTAAATAAATTTCATAATCCTTAAGATGAAGTACTTGGGGAAAGCTGTGCTTTGGTATTCAAAATTTTGTGGATTTTAGAAAGGTTGTGCATATATGATATATTGTGCATATATGATAAATTATGTAACAAACTCAAAAGGGTCAGGGACAGCACACTATAATTAAACATCACATAAATATTTCTTCACTACTACACGTGAATATTGACTCAAGGAAGGATAAATTAACACTGCAAAGAGCATGTCAGTTCAGGTTATATTTCTCACCAGATAAACTAAGAAAATTTTGGTTTTCAAAGCTTTGTTAGATTTTGAGATTTCAGAATAGAGATTAAGATTCTATATTTCCCATCTGCAATAAACAATCTTTACTCTCCTGACAATTTTCATCTGAATGTACTATTTACCTAATGCTCTATTTTTACCTTTTATTTTTTTATTTAAGAAAATTACAACAATAGCCATAAGTGGAGATTATTTCACAGGCATATTTTATCAGATATTGGTATCTGTTGTGCTGTTTTAGTAAACAGAGTCAGAATATTTCCTTCTTTATGCTCCAGATAGTTAATAATGCATGGGAATGATTCATTATTTGAAGTTTTTAAAGAATCATTTGTGAATTGTTGGCTTGGCATTTTTTTGTAGGAATTAACATTTCTGTTATCTTATTTTCTCTGGTCTATTTAAAATTTCTATCTCTACATAAGTTAATTAAGATATCATTTTTTATAAAGTCATCTGCAGTGTGGTGAATGGTGACCTCTCAAAGATATCAAGACCTAATCTCTGTAATCTGGTAAATTGTTGCAGATGTGACCAAGTTCATGACTGGGATTGCTTGGGACTGGTAACTCATTTCTACTTTGCACTTTTTTTTTTTTTTTTTTTCTGAAATAGGAATCTCTATAACTATGATATAAAACAAGCAAATTACTTTTTTGTTTTCTAGTTTCACAGGTCCAGGAACGAAGAGGAATTTTACCCCAAGATGGATCATACCAAGTCTCGCTCACTGATTTAAATGATTTAGATTTAGATGATGAAATCTGGGACTTGGAGCTGATGGCATTTGGATGAGATCTTCTACTTGAGTGGATGACATTAAGGATTGAGACATTTGGAGATACTATATCGCACACAGGACAGACATGAATCTTTGGGGGCTAGAAGACAGACAGTAGTGGGATGAATGGCGATTCCTAAATATGTCAGATCCTAATCCCTAGAACCTGGAATTGTTACCTTATGTGGTCAAGTTTTTGCAAATACGATTAAATTAATGAT